ACAATATAAAAACAAGTAACTGAGAAAAGATTCAACCAAATACACAGAACAATATAAAAACAAGTAACTGAGAAAAGATTCAACCAAATACACAGAACAATATAAAAACAAGTAACTGAGAAAAGATTCAACCAAATACTTAGGTACAGAACCCATTAATATAATCCACAAACCTGACAAAAAAACAAACTGCCTCTTTTTTTTTATCAACTCCATTTCCCAAGCTTTAAAAACATTCTAACTAAACACTGTCAAACAATCTAATCTAGAAAAACAACAAAATAAATCAAGCACTTTTTCACACAACAACCCTAACTGAATAATGTGGACTGTTTCATCTCCTTGCTGTTCTGAAAACCTGAATCAAATCCCCTATTCCGCCATGTTTAAAATAAATATTTTCAAATGCTTAAGTCTAGTTCGTTAACCCCTAACTTGTACAACATCAATCACTTAACATAGAGAGTTTATTATTGATTACCTGATATAGTCTCTAGTAGTACAAGTTGCTAAGAGGATATATGTGTGTAAATCACTTGGGAAGATGAAAGTATCATGAGCTCAGTATGTATAAGAGTCTAAATGTCACATTGTGCAAAATTCATTTTGTTTTTACTGAAGGTGATAACCACCAAGCTCACAGTAAGACTTGAGAAAAGTAAACCAAAGAATATGACTGGCGATACCAAAACTTACGAGGTGCAAAACAAAACAATTAATGGCGAGATGTTCCAATGAGATAGGCATAAAAGTTGTTGTTTTTTTAAATACAGATGACATTTGGAATAGGCTACATCCACTTATTGTCTATTCCAGAGAATGAGTTAACTTGCAAAGTTCAAGTTTTATAGTCCGATTACATGAAAAGGAGGGTTTAGGTTTACAGGAATAACGGATGTAAGCGTGACTATCAGGAAATTAACTATGCAGAGACACAACTGTAAAGTAGGTTCAAGCAATGTGGTGTGCATGGTCTTTGTTTCTTGTCTACAATACATGAAGCTGCTAGAATGAACTATGATGTAGGGGTAGGATTTTTGATAGGCCTACACTGTTCAATATTATTTAGCTCAGTGGAGATGAATAGTATCATCTTGGAAGTCCCAAACATATGTGCATCACACGGTAAAAATACTTGATATGACAAGGAATTTATAATAAAGTGTTATACCGTATAGATATGTATTAGATTGTTAGATGATAGTTAATACTGGAACACAGTCATTACTATGGTAGGAATAGCCTTTTAGTTTCTTGTATGGAGAAACAGTGGTTAATGAGATGTAAATTAATCTAAATTCCTATAATATTAAGTAAAAAATGTAACTACTGTAGCTTTTGGTATTAATGGTTCCTATGTCCATTGAAATAAATAAAGTAATTGTAAGTTTTTGAAACACTGAATGTACCGTTTGTAAATGTTTTCATAATTTATAGTTTAGTACTTAATGTATAATAGAAACTTAAGAAATTATAGTTATTAACATAAATAATTATTATGTTTATCAAGTCATACACTTATTTTATTGTTTTATTTAGATATTTTAAGAACTGTTATTATATACTGCTTCATCCCCCCACCTATTAGTATTATGTTATTCTTCAGGTCTTATTGGCCGGATGTAATTTCAAACAAACTAAAAAAGCCTTAGATATATATTTTCTCATTGCATAGCTTTTACTTTTAAATATTAAAAAAAAAATTGTGTAAACACTCATTATAAGATACATTTAATTGTAACCCAAAACATAGGAAGGTTAATATCACCTGAAGGGACAGGATACACTTCTATATGGGCATCAGAGTTTTACAAATTACACTGCTCATAAGTGTAATAAAGTTAAATTTAGCCGGAAATTTTCCTCAGTTACAAACTAAACCATGACATATAGGGAATACAGTTTGTCTATGTAGAAACCAATAATATTTACCAAGAACTGGTCTGAAAACCTCTTAACTTCTGCAGGAATATGGGTTTACATGAGTGGATACACACTATGAATTCCTAAAATGAAAACAGACAGGTTTACTTGTTAATTTATTTATGTTTTGTACACTACCCTGAACAATGACATGAAAACAAAGCAATATTGAGAATTTCACGATACTTTGATGACAGTACGTACAAAAATACAAACCTGCATATAAACTAAATTTAAAAAACTAAAACTACCTATACACTCCACCCAAACTCATTGACCACAAGCCCAAAGACAACCGACGTAGAAGTTTACAGACAAGAGGCTCTACTACTAGTAATAGTACGATCAAGCCTAACGTGAGTAAACACAAAATACACATCAATAGGCTAGACTACCCACTAAATTTATTTAGCGTCAGGCGCCTTCTTTTTAAACTCACCTTTTTGAAGAAATGGCTTTAATTAAACAAATATTATTAATTTTCTTTTAAAATTGAAAAGGTAAATGGCCTAGAGAAATATCTAACTTTATTCTTCATCGTGGTTGATTTCGTAAAGTTTAAACTACAATAAACTTTATAAAGGGTTTAACGTTTACAGGCACCTACAACCCCACACAATAACAATACTTTCTCCTACTCAGTACGAATTCTTCGTAGCCGAGGCTTAAGCTCATACAATATACACGTATAATATATACACATAAAGACTGAGTATTCATTCGCAAAAGTTATTCCCTACTTTTAAGCTACACAACTATACTTTCATTAATTGTGAATGTTTTGTAACAGAATTAATAAAACAAAAAAAAATCGTATATTACCTTCAATAAATGCAATGGTAACAAACTTGGCACTTAATTTTCCATCGCAATAACACGTTCCAACATAAATGTTTTTATGGTTTTTCACGTCGTGTGATGGTGAAGATGTGGCGACTGTCAGTCTGAGATCTTAGTGTTTAATACATATATATGTTACAGATAGGTAGAATAATACCAACAACGTCTTAATCTGTAAAAACAAATACTTGCATTTATTTAAGATTTATCTACATTCGTTAAGAGGTAAAAATAAGATATATTTTTAAATGCATTGTATTCAAGCTCTTTGTCTAGGTACATATTAACTCACTTGTACCGTTCAATTTGTGAATGAACAACATTAGTCGACTGAGCATGCCTTATGAATCATGATACTGTTACCCACTTTAGTCATCAAAGTATTCTTGGAACTATGGTATGAGCAGTAGGATAACTATAATATAATCACGCTTCGCCAGCAAAAGGCATACACACCATAGTAATACTATATTGAAAAATTAATTCGGATTCTTACATATATTACTACTCATAACTAATTAATAACGAAAAACTAACTTTCATAAAATAAATATGAAAATGTAAAAACATTAATATTTTATAATCGGTACTTAACAAAAAAAAGTAGACATGTTTATTTAATTAGAGTGTAAATGTAATTCAATTCTATTATATGCTGAGTAAAAATCAGAGGCATCGCTAGGTGCTTAATAAAAGATTCCGGGCTCGGGCCCACATGCGCGGGAAGTTTCGGAGTTTTACTATATCGATCACGGTTTTCTATTCTGATTTTGTGGATTCGTGTCCCTGTCAAATAGAATCGAGGCACGGGACCCGTGTGACTGTGCCTAGCGATGCCTTTGGTAGAAATAAAATTGCATGTAGTTTCGTTTGTCATGTATGTTTTCTTTGCCGTTTTAATTACCGAGTTTATACTTTACTTGTTATAAATTAGAGTTGTTTATAGAGTTCATTCTGTCTCAGTTGAATTATCTGTTTATTTCATCATTTATAACTGGAAAGAATATACCTTGTATCCAAATGGATTTTTTCCCAGAATTTTCGTAAAGGTGTTATACATGTAGTTACTAGTTAATTTGTTTGTTTGAAGTTAAGCACAAAGCTACACAATGGGCTATTTGTGCTCTGCCCACCACGGGTATCGAAACCTGGTTTCTAGTGTTCTAAGTCCGCAGACATGCCACTGGGAGGCGTTAATAGTTAGCTAGTGTTACTGTGTGGTAACTGGTAAATGAATATATATATATATACCTACG